AAAAAAAAAAAAAAGTAATGAGGAGGTGAATAAGAACCAAATATTGACTATATGAATGAAAAATTCAATTTTTGTAATAATTTAACTAATTATTTTATAGATATTCTTTAAGTAAGTTAATGTTAGAGTTTTTATTTTATTGTTTAAAATTTGAATTATATCCAATTATAAAATTGAAACAATCAAAGTAAAATGCCCTCTAATATATATGTCCCATCTAAATATTTATATTGTATAAAAATTTCGAGTAGTTCAAATTGTATTTTTTTTTATTTTGTTAATATTACATGTTACCTTAGAATTCAAATAGTTTTACTTTTTAAAAATTTTTGTGAGGACTGAAATTCTATTGGCTTCTCGAAGTAGGAAAAACTCATTGACTTCTAAGAAATAGAAATTCTATTGGCTCCTTGTGGGGAAGTGAACAAGGACACAAACATTGACTATACATATGAGAAAGTTGAGTTTTTTATAATTTAACAATTATTTTACAGATATTCCTTAAATAAATTAATGTTAGGGTTTCTATTTTATTGTTTAAAATTTAAATTATATCGAATTATAAAATTTAAATAATAAAAGTATTATGTCCCCTAATATATTTGTTATATCTAAATATTTATATTATATAAAAATTTAATATAATTTAAACTGTAAATTTTTTTTAAAAAAAATTACATATATTAGAAGTCAAATAGTTTTATTTACCAACAATTTAAGTAATTTAATAATTATTTCTTTTCGTTGAAAGTAAAATCTCATGAGTTAGAATTGTGTAACATGCAATGAAACGAGATAAATAATAAAAAATAATTATTTTTTATTAAATAATTAAAATAAAAAAAATAATTCAATTTTTCAAAAACTTTTTGTGAGGACTGAAATTTCTATTGGCTTCTCGAAACAGGAAAAACTCTCTCCACGAGTGCCATTGCAGGAAACAATATTTCTTCCAACCTGCCCCACCTGGTTGAATGAGAATCCCATGCCGTCGTCATTGTCATACCTACCCCCTTTACATTGCATGTAGTCCACCTCGCCACTTTTCGCTGTGCCGGTACAG